ATTCTTGACTATTTCTACTTTCCAGTGAACTGACTGAATTCGTAGGCTCCTGACTGCCGTGATGTTAACGAGACCGGGCTCGTTAGGGAACGCTGCGCCCCATGATGACCTTTACCTTCACCACGTAGGACCCAGGGTCCACCGCGCACGCCCAGTAGTGTCGCCCCTGCGTGACGGCCACGTCCCCGATCAGGAGGTCAGAGGTCAGGTGGCAGGAAGTGAGGGCGCGGTCGGCGGCCTGCAGCAGGGGCACCCCGGGCACGCTGCGGGCGCCGCGCTGCTCCTTACCGAGCACCAGCCGGTCGCCATGGAAACCCCAGCGCGAGTCCAGGAAGAAATTCAGCACTGAGAGGAGGGAGAGGAGAGACAGGAAGAGAGGGAGGGAGAGGAAAGACAGGAGGAGGGAGAGGGGAGAAGAGGAAAGATAGGATAGAGCAGAAGAGGGAGAGAGGAGGAAAGGAGACTTCCACCGGGAGAAAGAGGGGAAGGAGGCAGGAAAGACAGGAGAGGGAGAGAGAGAGGAGAGAGAGAGGCAGGAAAGACAGGAGAGGGAGAGAGAGAGGAGAGAGAGAGGCAGGAAAGAGGAGAATGAGAAAGAGAAGAGGGAGAGAGAGGAGGTAGAGAGGAGAAGGAGGTATAAAAGAGAACGGGAGAGGGAGAGTTCAGAAAAGGGGGAAAGGAAGAATTTGGGAGAGAGGAAAACAGGCAGGGAGGAAAGAAGTGCAGGAAAGAGTACAATTAGGAAAACAAAAAAGCAGGGAATCTGGGAGAGTGGCAGGCAGCCTTCAGGCACCCAGGACCTTCCGGAGATAGAGGGAGCGAGGGAAGCAGGGGGGAGGGGGGGAGCACTCCGAGCTCGACATTCTTCGGAAGATGGCAGCAGAGAACAATTTGTCTTTTTTTTCCCTGAATAATTAACACGCGTTCATTAGGGCCCTGTCCTAATGAATGAACCGCGCTGTTGAAATATTCATGGAGTGATTATCTCGGCAGGTGGAGATGGGGATGAGAGAGAGAGAGAGGGATGAGAGGATCGCACTGGGATGCAGACAGACGAGATGGGTTGACAGCAGGAGAGAGAGAGAAAGACGAGTTAATCATTTCAGATCGCTGATGGTGCTGGAGAGTTTAACCGGCAACAAGTGTTGACAATCTCGACTGGCTCAGGTGAGCATCAGTGTTACCTGGCTCAGGTGTGTATCAGTATTAACTGGCTCAGGTGTGCTTCAGTGTTACCTGGCTCAGGTGTGTATCAGTATTAACTGGCTCAGGTGTGTGACAGTGTTATCTGGCTCAGGTGTGTATCAGTATTAACTGGCTCAGGTGTGCTTCAGTGTTACCTGGCTCAGGTGTGTATCAGTATTAACTGGCTCAGGTGAGCATCAGT